TGTGTGTGTGGGGGGGGGGTTATAGCCTGAGATACGCTCCAGCTTTACGCGAATGGAAAAATGACCGGTTATTCAGGCTCCAGGCTTTTATCCTTGTGGACTGGTGTTACAGTTCTTGCTGTGATAGTACACAAATATTCCTGTGTGGTGATGTGACTGAAATGTTATGCAACTTTGTAGACTAACGCTGGTGGTTAATGGCGCAAAAAAAAAAAGAATTAAAAAAATGATGGAGTTCAGATATCAAACTGCACATTTTACAGCTTTAAACGCCGCTCATGCGTGAATTTCGGATTTCGTCAGCGCTCGGTAATTGCTACCGCTGTAACTCAACGCGGTTACATAAGATGAAGAAGCTTCAACGTGACCTGTAGTAGCCCAAGCTTTGGCTGTGGCTGTGGTGCACGGAATCTGATGGGACATCCGGTGTGTTGTAGATTTTAATCACCGCATTTGAAACAGTTGTAATAGATCCGGCGATGATGCTCGTGGTGGATAGTCTTCCTTACGAAGCGTGTTGCATCCCCTGTTACCATGGTGACTTGGCATTTTATGCTGACTGAGTCAACAGGATTCAGATCTTTTGCACGCCAGTGTTATTCAGACACACTCTGCAGCCAGCGGATGATTTACCAGAGATCTCTAGAGGATATTGGATGTTTCGTAGCAGTCACAAATGAGCTTTTCTCTTATTAGTCTCATTCATCGGGATCATTTGCCCACATGTGTCATGACTAGGACGACATGGCAAGTCCTACGCCGTTCCCTTGATGCAAATGTTCTGAAGCAGGGGATGCAACACATATTAGTACTAAGAGCTATTGCAACTTTATAGAGGCATCCTTGCCCCAGCATCTCAGCCTGCTGGAGTCACACCCATTCATCCACTCAGCAAAATGTGTGAGATGAGTACCACGCCTATAGTCTACTGTGGTGTTTGGATGATGGCCAATTCAATAAGGGATTTAATAGAAGATGTATTGTATGTTTTGGGAAATGGTTTGTAGATGGTCCTATTTAGCCCATATCTTATAATGTATTTAGATAACTGTGGTTTTTCTCTATTGAGTACACTGATGTGAAGAATGTGGTTTGAGTGTTTTTTTTTT